ACAATCATATATCACTGCTTGTTTAGCCATTCCCCAATTGATGAGAATCCTTTCAATGTCTAATTCTGAGCCACCACAAACAGAACTGCTATAAATATTTTTTTTTGTACAAATGGGCCCTTTTCCCTTTAAAAATGTCCTTGAGATGTAGACTCAGTATTGCTGGATAAAAGAGTATGCACAACTGTGCATGTATCACTTTGGGCCTAGTTCCAAATTGCTCACCATAATATTTGGATCAGTTCACAGCTGCACCAACAGTGCATACTTACCTCAGTTTTTACAAATCTCTGCCTACATCTATCACTTTCCTCTTTTTGTCATATTAGTTAATCTACAAGGTGTGAGTTGTTTAATTTGCATTTCTCTAATCAATAGTGCTTTAGAACATTTTTTCATGTGACTATAGATAGCTTTGATTTCTTAGTCTGAAAACTGTCTGTTCGTATCATTTGACCATTTATCAATTAGGGAATGAATTGTATTTTTTTGGTAAATTTGACTAGTTCTCTATATATTGAGAAATGTGGCCTTTATCAGAGATTCTTGCTCTACATTTTTTCCTATTTTCTGCTTTCCTTTTAATTTTGGTGGATTGGTTTTGTTTGTGCAAAAGCTGTGTAATTTTATATAATTAAAATTATTTATTTTACATTTTGTCATGCTCTTTATATTTTGTTTGGTCCTATTTTCTTGTTTTATTCCTAGACCTGACAAATAATCTATTCCATGCTTTCCTAATCATTTAATATAATTTACTTATGATATCATCCTTTGTATGTAAATCATGAAGCCATTTTGAACTTATTTTGGTATATGGTGTGAGATGTTGGTCTATACCTAATTTCTGCCAAACTGTTTTCCTAGCAGTTTTTGTGAAATGACGTGTTTGTTCAAAAGCTTGGATCTTTAGGTTTATGATATAGTAGATTACTATGGTGACTTGCTACAATATAATGTGGACCTAATTTTTCCACCGATGATCCACTACTCTATTTTTTAGCCAGTACCAGATTATTTTGATAATTGCTGCTTTATAATATAGTTTGAGATTGGGTATGGCTAGACTACTTTCCTTCTCATTTTTTTTCATTGATCCACTTGAAATTCTCGATCTTTTCTTCTTCTAGATGAATTTTGTTATTGTTATTTCTGGCTCTATAAGTATACTTTTTAGAAAGTTTGATTGGTATGGGACTGACTAAATGGGTTAATTTAGGTGGAATTTTCATTTGTATTATATTGGCTGAGCCTACCACAAATAATTAATATGTTTTGAATTGTTTAAATCTGACTTTATTTGTGTGAAAAGTGTTTTGTAGTTGTGTTCATGTAGTTGGAATATGATATACCAGAAGGTAAAGTAGTTAGGATTCCAACTAAGAATCACCTACTCAGCAAAACTGAATATAATCTTTCAGGGAAAAAATGGATAATTGAAGAAATAGAGGACTTTCAAGCATTCCTAATGAAAAGAGGAGAGCTAAATAAAAAATTTGATCTCCAAATATAAGACTCAAAGAAGACAAAAAAAGATAAAAAAGAAAGAAGAAAAAGGAAACATAAGAGATTCAATAAGGTGAAACTTTTTTTTTCCATATTGCAAGATAATTTTTGTAACTCTTAAGAACTTTAGTACTATAAGGGCAATTAAAAGGAGTACACATAGAGGGTATGGATATAAAGTGGCTTTGATGGGATAATACCACCAAAAAGACAAAATAAATGGATGAGAAAGAAGATTGCACTGGAAGAAGGAGGAGGGGAGAGATTGAATGGGGTAAATTATCTCACATAAAAGAGGCATGAAAGAACTGTTGTAATGGAGGTGAAGATGAGGGGTGTTGGCATGCAAAGCTTAAAACTTACTTTCATCAGAATTGGCTCAAAAAAGGAATAACATACACACTAAGTTGAATACAGAAATATATTTTCCTTTAAAGAAGTTAAAAGGGATAGGGATAATAGAATGAGGGAACTGATAAAAGGGAAGATAGAATAGAGGTTGTGGTGGTAGGAAGTAAAACACTTGTGAAGAGGGGCAGGTTGGAGGTAAGAGAGAGAGAGAAGGAGAAGAAGGAAGGGAAAATAGCATGCAGGGAAACGCACAGTTAATTATCATAACTATTAATGTGAATGAGATGAACTCACCCATAAAACAGAAGCAGCTAGCAGAATGGATTAAAAACCAGAGTCGTACAATATATTGTTTACCAGAAATGCATTTGAAGCAGAGAGACACATAGAGGGTAAAGGTAAGGGACTGGAGCATAGTCTATTATGCTTCAGCTGAAGCAAAGAAATTTGGGGTAGCAATCGTGGTCTCAGACATATGACAAGAAAATTTGACCTAAATACAAGAGATAAGGAAGGAAACTATATCTTGCTGAAAGGTACCATAGACAATGAAGTAATACCAGCACCAAACGTATATGCATTGAATGGTATAGCATCTAAATATTTGAAGGAGAAATGGAATGAGTTACAGGTGGAAATAGACAATAAAACTGTACAAATGGGGAACCTCAAATTTCCCCCCTCAGAACTAGAGAAACATAACAAAAAATAAGAAAGAAGTTAAGGAGGTATATAAATTCTGAAAAAGATATGCTACATCTCTGGAGAAAATTAAAAGGAAATAGAAAGGAAAATACTTTTTTATCAGTATTACATGGCATTTATGCAAAAATTGACCTTGTATTAGGATATAAAAACCTCACAACCAAATGCAGAAAAGCAGAAATAATAAATGCATCCTTTTCAGTGCATAATTCAAGAAAAATATATTCAATAATGGGCAATGGAAAAAAAGATTAAAAATTAATTGGAAACCAAATAATCTAATACTAAAAAATAAGTAAGTAAAAGAACAACATATAGAAATAATTGATAATTTCATCAAAGAAAATGACAATAATGAGACAACAGGCAAAAAATTTATTGGATGCAACCGAAGTGGTACTTAGATATCAGTTTATATCTCTAATTGCTTACGTCAATACAATATAAAGAGAGAAGATCAATGAATTGAACACACAAATAAAAATAAAAACTCAAAAAGGAAAAGTTAAAAATCTCTAATTAAACACCAAATTGGAAATCCTGAAAATCTAGGAGATATTAATAAACTGAAAGAAAACCATTGAACTATTAAATAAAATAGAAGCTGGTTTTATGAAAAAAAAACCAGGAAAATAGATAAACCATTGGTTAATTTGATTTAAAAGATTAAAGTAGAAAACCAAATTACTGTTATCAAAAATGAAAGAGGTGAATTCACCCACAAATGAAGATGATATACTTAGAGAATACTAGAAAATCAACTAAAAAACTATTTGAAATAATTAGCAACTTCAGCAAAGTTGCAGGATATAAGATAAATGTATACAAAACGTCAACTTTTGTATATATTGCCAACAAAGCCAGCAGCAAAAAATTATTAGAAGCTATTTTGCTCAATCATATGTCAATAAATTTGACAATTTAAATCTAAAGGATGGTTATCTACAAAAATGTTACCCAGATTAAGAGAAGAAGAAATAAAATACTTAAACAATCCAAGTTTAGACAAAGAAATTTAATAAGCCATCATTGAATATCCTAAGAACAAATCCCCAGGGCTAGATTGATTCACAAGTGAATCCTACCAAACATTTAAAGAGCAATTAATCCTAATTCTGTATAAACTGTTTGAAAAAAAGGCAAAGAAGGAGCCCTACCAGATTTCTTTTAATACACAAATGTGGTGCTGATACCTAAACCAGAAGGGCTAAATCAGAGAAAGAAAATTACAGACCTATTTCCTAATGAATATTGATACAAAAATCTAAATAATATACTAGCAAGGAGATTACAGCAATACATCAGAAGGATCATACACTATGACCAGGTGGGATTTATACTAGGAATGCAGGGGTTCAGTATTAGAAAAACTATTAGCATAATTTACCATATCAATAACAAAACCAATAGAAATTAATGATTATCTCAATAGATAAAGAAAAAAAGCTTTTGACAAAATGCAACACCTAATCCTATTAAAAACACTAGAGAGGGGGCAGGTAGATGGCACAGTGGATAGAGCCCTGGAGTCAAGAGGTCCTGAGTTCAAATCTGGCCTCAGATACCTCAGACACTTAACTAGCTAGTTATGTGACCCTATGTAAGTCACTTAGCCCTTATTGCCTCCAAAATAAATTTTTAAAAAACCACTAGAGAGCATAGGAATAAAGTCAGTATTTCTTAAAATAATAAGCAGTATCAATCTAAAAGCATCAGTAAGCATTATCTATAATGGGGGTAAGCTAGAAGGCTTCCCAATAAGATCAGAGGGAAGCAGGGATGACCATTATCACCATTATTATTCAATATTGTATGAGAAATGTTAGCTATAGCAATAAAAGAAGAAAAAGAAATTGAAGGAATTCGAATAGTTAATGAGGAAACAGAATTGTGACTCTTTGCAGATGATGTCATGGTATACTCAGAGAATAGTAGAGAATCAACTGAAAAACTATTTGAAATAATTAGCAACTTCAGAAAGGTGCAGGATATAAGGTAAATCCACACAAAACATCAACTTTTGCATATATTGCCAACAAAGCCCAGCAGCAAGAGATAGAAAAGAGAAATTCCATTTAAAATAATTGTAGACAGTATAAGTACTTGGGAGTCTATACAGGAGGCATTACTTTAGCTAGCTGTCTTCTCTATGCTTCTGAGGACCAATATTCTAAAAATTCAGTATCCATACTGCTTATTTTATGTTAAAAGAGTGCTCACAGTGCTTAGTAGAATGAAAGGTATAAGTGTTTAAGGACATAACTATGCAGAAATTATCTTAAGGGATCTGTCACAACGTGAAAAGAAAAAAAATACATTGGTAATTCCACCTTTCCAATCACAGCCAGAAAGAATGCCAGGCAGGAGTCATAATTAATTGAAAGCAAAAATACTTAGTAAAATACCTTGATAAGGACATTAACAGTACATCATTTTCTTTGTAAGCCTAGGCACACAGTTCTACTGCTTTCTCTTTTATCTGTCATCATTGCTCCATCTATGCAAAGCAGGGATCCCATTACTTCCTTGATCCTCTTCTTTCTCAGTATAGACAAAAACCAAATCTTCACTCACATTGTTCTTAGCTTCTCTTAACAGCCTCAACTCCTTTTGAGGTTTGACATCAGCAACACTATTTTTAAAGGATCATGCCATGCTTTTCCATTCATCCTCTGCTATCTGGCCTTATTTCCATCTTTTGTACCTGTATTTGAAAAATCTAGGCTAGTTGGTGGGTTCTCTGCTTTTCCATAACAGTATCTTCAAACAACTCACACATTTCCTCCTTCTTTGGAATCATTTCCCTTTGTGTCTTCAGAACATCATTCCTGATTGTTCATCACCCCTCCTTAGCTCAATTCCCCTGTGGAATTTGAACCAATGGAATCAGAGCTGTCCTTCTTATTAACTCTTTGAAGATGACTCATTCAAGATCTTTTGTTATATCAGATTATGACATTTTCCTTTCCTTCTCCATCACAAAGTGTATGAGGAAGTAATTTTCCCCCAGAGGGCTCACATCCCCAGCCACAAATTTCACCCCATGAGGAATAACCTGTTCTACAATAAAATATCCTGTTCTCAGTTTCTCAATTTTGGAAGGATGAAATTATGTTTACAGCAAGCCATGCTGTTATAAACATCTCTGTCTTTTCCACAGGGTGAGTTTTAGCACTTTGCTGGATAATTGAAGCTCCTGATCACTGCTGGATCATATTTCTGTGTCAGGATGATGTTTCCTAAAGTACTCAGCTATTTCCTCTTTCTGTACAAATGATCTCTAGCGTGCATAGATAATAAAATCACTTGTGTAGTTCACACTTTTTTTTCCCAACTACTTTCTATCATACTCTTCCTGTGTCATAGGTCTTGGATTTCTTCAAGCATATATACCTCTTAATAATTCCTGCTTACCTTAAAAATCCCAGAGATGAGGTAAGGAGCACCTGAAATACTGGGTATAAAAGACCTTCATAAGCTAAAAAGCTCCACACTCATTTGTGAAGGAGAGAGATTGTGGTCATTATCATGTTGAGTGAGGTAGGCTGTTCTTTTTTTGAATGGAGCCTGGGCTCTGAACAATCTCTGTACATGAGTAAATAGAAGCTCAATTCTCTGATTAGGACCAGAGATAAACTCACCTGAGTGTGTTTGAGCCCCATGCATGGGAGAAGCTGAAGCTCTCAATGTCTCATTGATAGGAGGCTGGGAATCATGGGACACCTGACATGTGAAAACAGCATCTTCTTTTTGCAGAGACAGTGGGACCACAAGTAAGCACTCAAGGCTACAAGTGCCATCCTTGTTCTCAGTGGGTGTAGTTGACTTCTTTCCTCCGACAATGATGCCATTCACCAGCCAGGTGACATTTAAGTGGTTGGGGTAGAACTTCATCACATAGCAAGTAGCTGCCATCCAATCTGAGGGGAATGACAGACTGGAAATACCAATTTCTGGTGGAACTAGAAGAATATAAGGAAAAGTTACATAGCAAACGCCAGGCTCCAATCCCCTGACTCATGACTGAGGCAGAGGGGAGGGAACAAGAAGGAATATCTTGGTGAAAGTGACAATAATCACTTCTTCTTGGCAGTAGGTGTTCCTATGTCCCTCTATTTGGAATAATTCCTAATATAGAGGACATTAGTTATCTTTTCTCCTCTGAAAGCTTCTTGCAAGCAATAACCATTTTATTCTTGTGTGGTGGCTCCTGCATGGAAATTGAGTGCCTTGCACATAGAAGTACACTTATACAGTTTTGTTGGTGGTGTTGTTAGGGGATAGAGGAAACCTGGACCTGTAATTGGCTAACACACTGGAGGTGCTTGACAAATGTTTTTGAATGTAATTGACTTCAACCCACTGTGGTTGAAGCCTACTCTCTTAATTGCCTCCTTGTATCCTGAACCTTAGATCTCATATAGGCTGTGGGGAGAAGAGAGTCCTTTCCTTGGACTCGAGGAGAGGCAGGGAAGTGTAGTGGATAGAGTCAGGAAGAATTGGACTGAAATTCAATCTTTTACATATACTGGCTGTGAATTCACTCTGACCTTGGGGCAAGTCATTTAACCTCTCAGTGCCCCAAGCATATATCTAAAACTCTGAGTTCAAGAGTTGCCCATTGTAAAAATATTTTGGAGATACCCTGTTTCCCAGAGTTAAGGCCTAGCAAGCAGGCTGTGTCCTGAACTTGGCATAGCAATAATCCTTTGTGCTCAGGATATCACCCTCTAGCAAAGCACTTTGCTTAGGCCAGTACCAGGTGTTCACAGAGGGATTTAGCTCCCCCTATTAACCAGGACCATCCATCACATGTTCCTGGTCCCTGTTCCTTGTCAGTGATAGGTACTTTACTACTATTACAAAGCTCTGATTCTATTTCTGGTATAGTAGTCACAACCCTCAATACTTGAGACAATGACTGTTCCCTCAGGACCCAAGGACATCTCTATTGTCCCAAGAAATGCCAACCATGAGAACTATCTCAAAATCTAAGAATGATTGTACTGTGACCCACTCCTTTCATGTATTTAGAGGGCCCCAGGCTTAGCAGCCTTAAGTCCTCCTTCTTAGGAAGGGAGCTTCCATATGCACAAGTCATTTTCCTCACTCTGAAATTAATTAAACTTCTGTTTGTGTCCTGACTCTCCTGATCATCCTGTCTCTTAGCTGCTGTGTTTGTTCAGCTCCAGCCACCCACAGCCCAAAGGCCAGTTCTGGTTTGTTGACATTAATTGGTGTCAGAAGTGGGATCTGACATGGAACAGGGCCAAATGGACCTTCCAATACCAGTGGGAGTGGACTAGGCGCCACCAGAGATTTATTTCTGTGAAGTCTGACCCCTCTTGTCTGGAGAGTTCCCTGCCCTTTCCTGCTCACATCCTCTGGCTCACCTTAATTGAGCATGGCTTTTCATTATGAGGAATGTTTCAGGACCTTTTTCTTGAGCTGGATCACTCTGGTAAGGCCTATTTTGCACACAGATCGGCAAACTTTTTGCATTCGTCTGGTGTATTATTATTTTTAAAATTTTTTTGCTGCACGTGTCAAATTTTATTTGGGTAAGGATGGTTTGCATATTTGGTTGTGTGCATTTGGAACCAGCTGAAATGAACATTTTAACTGAGCACTGGTGAGGCGCAACTTTTTCTCAGTGTGCCTTGTGCTTTAAACTCTTCTCTTTTAATTTCATATCTGGTTATTTACTGCACGCTCTTCTTTTTCATGTTTGTATCTGTCTTCTCTGTGTCTTTGCAAAAGGCAGAATGTCTGTGTCACAGCCCACATCCCTCTGTTAACCCCTCTCGTCTTATATCAGATTAAGAAAAGAGAATGCAGGAGAATTCTAGGGGCATTTTAATTTTAGTTTGCTTCACTTTGTGGAATGGGGTGCAGCAGCTCTAGGGGCAGAGGCACACATCCTATCCCGGCAGCTTTCCAACACCTACAACTGCAGCTGTGTGTGGGGGGGAAGTCAGGCCCCATGGCCCTAGGCGGTACCCTCCGTCATACACCCCCAGAGACCAGGCATTCAGTGTCTCCAGTGCAAGTCCAGCCATCATCAAGTCCCAACCGGCTGCTACCTGAAAGAGTATGGGTGTCCTTGGCAGCACTTTGAATGGCAGTATAAGAAGGGGGAGCAGACTGTTTCCCTGCTATAGCTCCCATTACCTGTTTCCCTTAACTCTAACAAAAGTCAAATTCATTGGAGCTGAGGTAACTTCCCTCTCATGGGAACAAGAGAAAAGGAAAGAAATGCGTTTCCCAAGATTGCACCAGACTATTTAGGATTTCACTAAGGTAGACCCAATTCATGCTCCATGACATTCCTGAAAATAGCAATGGATATCATAAATTACTCAGAATCCAGCCCACAGGGTATCTCCAGATGAAAATATGTGCCCCCAGTAGTCAAACATGGACTGAGGCAGCTGAGTTCCAAAGCACAGTGGTTACCTGGAGAAATCAAACCTGACTGGGAATGCCAGAAGGGACATGGTAGGTGTGGACACAACCAGTTTTCTGTTATCTTATCCACATGCACAGTCCAATACCTTTCTTGCTTAGTTTGACATCCATCCTGGTCACCATAGGTATGGACCTCATCTCCTATAGGAATGCCCAATAATCCCTGCCAAACCCCCTGGCATCTTGCGCCATGATTGGTGTGCAGTGGGACATGTCCTGATAGGCTAGGGAGGCCTTACTGTGCTTGTAACCTGGGGGTTACAGGGGAAGAGGTCCATAGGAAGCTGGAATATACACAGAAAGATATTGCAAAGTGACTAAAGGACCAAATTGAGGACGCTGTCAGAGGACTTGACAAATTGGCTGAAGGACAACATACTTTGGGAGTTCTGGTGATGGACCACCAGCTGGCTTTGGACTACCTGGTAGCCAGCCAAGGAGGAGTTTGTGGTTTGTAAACTCCCCCTGTTATGTGCAGTTTGAGGCCTCAGCAGGAATAACTATCATCACATGATATGATAAATCGAATAAAGAATGACAGCATTGTCACAGATGTTGACAACATCTTTCCAGGCACTATGAATGTTTTCACTGATCTTTTCTCCTGGATTTTTCCAGAGGAATTGGTAGGATTCCTGGGAAAATCCTTTAAGGATACCATGATTAATATGCTTGCTGTTAATATTAATTTTAATTAGTTAATTTATTAATATGCTCTTAGTCATGGTAGTGTATAATATTGATCAGGGGACCAGGGAGTGGATTGTGAAAAAATTGTATTTTGTTTTGGTTCCCCTGACATTATTTCTTCCCTTCTAGTCAGTGTATATAGTAAGTTTATAAAGAGCTAGTGTAAAGGAGAAATAGTAGGAAATCAGATTGCAAAGGGGGAACTTAGAAGTCACATATAAACTGTCCCCAAGGTCAAAGGAACATAATTTACAAGTTGTGTCTTACATTAACTAAGATTCACATCCTCAGTCAGCTGAATCAGCAGAAGCCATCTGGGTGCTGCTGTTGGGACTGTTGGTCTTATGACATGTAAATCTCAGACAAGTTCCAGACATCTGCAGTAAGGCCAGCAGAACACCAAGAAGTACTAATAACTTTGAGATGACGGGGGCATGTTAACTAAAGTTTTACCAACAACTTTGAGATGATTTGGATGTGTCAGTGAACTAACCACTAGGTGGCACAGATAAGAGTTAGTCCATTCTTAAAAAAAAAAAAACCTATTAAAATGAATCTTCCAACTACTGTCCCCCAGCTCTTCCATCTCTTTCAGGTCCATGATGCTTAAGGCTCCCAACTCTAATCCATGGTCACATGAGTGATAGTCTGTGCCTCTCCCCTTCTCCGTCCTCTTCCCCATTGCCGCCTATCTCCCTGTCGTTACCACCCCATACCCCGCTCCCACACCATCTGCCTCTGTACCCCTTTTGTCACTTGTCTCTGTACTTTCTGTCGTTTTTGCCCCCCATTCTCCATGGTTATTTAAGATTGCTACTCTGTCTCCTGCTGCCATAATAATTTTTCCCAGCAAGTACCCAATGACTGGGTGTGCCTGCCTCCATTTCACATTTCACAATCAATTCACTTTTTCTTTTTTCTTATGCTTCTTCTCTTTTTTTCCTCTTCCTTCCCTTCTCCTTCTTCCCTGGCAGTCTCAGAGAAGAGACGCTGGTGACCCACATTCCAGGGACTTCAACACCACATACTTCATTAAACTGAATCATAAGGACACTGATCTTAGGGTCAGAACACCCATGTCCATCACTTCTGTGAGACCCAGACTTCAGTGACCCGCAGAAGGAAATTTTTCCCTTTGCAGCTTAACTTCTTTATCTGCAGAAGTAGAATGATCACTCACACTCTATGCCTGATGTGGCTGTTGTGAAACAACTCTGTTAAGCTCAGAGAAACTGGCAATTTTTATTATTCTCAGTATTTAAAGAGTGACTCTGGCAAAGAAGCTCAGAGATTCTGTTAGAACAAGATATAACTATAATGTCACCTGAACTTCTAGGATTGAGGGAGCTCCCAGAACTTCAAAAGACTCTATTTTGACTTCATTGGCAGCTGGGTGGCTCAGAAAATAGCTTGCTGGACCTGGAGTTAGGCAGCCCTGAGTTCAAATCCAGCCTCAGACACTTACTAGTTCTGTGACCCTAGGCAAGCTCCTTAACCTCTGGCTGCCTCAGTTTCTTCAACTGTAAAGTAGGCATCATAATTCCACTTTCCCAGGAATTTGTGAACATGAAAGGAGTTAATATTTGTGAAGCACTTGGCACAGTGCCTGGCCCACATTAGGCACTTAATAAATGCTTCTTGTTTCCTAGGTAAGGGCCAAGCTTCTAAGGTATTCTTGGCCTCAGAGAAAATTAAGAAAAAAAAAGCCAAATTAGGAGAGGAGATGGGAAAGAAGTGCCTGGGCCATGACTCACTTACCTCGAATAATGTCTGATAACTTCTTTTTCCCTGACAGAGGAGTCTGTAATGTGGAGTGATGAACTTCACAGATGACTTTAGAACGAATGTCACTGGGTGTGAGCAGCACCTGCACGGTGCTGGTGAGGTTGTAGGAAACACTGTCTCCCTCTGGGAAAACACGGGTCCAGAGAGCAGGGAGTTCAGTCCCATTTTTAAACCACTTCAGGCTGATGTCTTTTGGGGAGAAGCCAGTTGAGGTACAGGAGATTTTCACCACCTGGTTGGTGCTTGCTCTCTCCTGGGGGCCAGACACCAAAGGAGCAGAGGGTTTGCCTGGAAAAATCAAGCATTAGGTGGAATAAATACTTCTGTGTCATCATATCAAATGAAATCATTGATGCAAACCACTTCTGTCAGTCTTAAAGTACTCCCTAGAGTCAGCTAGGTTTTGCAGTGGAGCAAACCCTGACCTGGAGTCAGGGAGACCTGAGTTCAAATCTAGCCTCAAACACTTACTATCTTTGTGACCCTGGACAAGTCATTTAACTTCTAAGTTAGTTTCTTCATCTGTAAAATGGGGATAATAACAGCACCTTCCTCCCAATGTTATGTGGAGCATGAGAGACAATATTTCTAACATGCTTACCACAGTTCCTGGCACATGGCAGGCAATATATAAATGTTAGCTTTTATGAAAGAAAGTCTGCCTTGAATCTGATATGTACCATGTTTGATGGGTGGTGTATTGGAGCTGATGACTCTTTTATCCACTTGTGCAGAGACCTAGAGACAGTCCACATTCTGATAATCCAAGGGAAGGCTGGGTGGAGGCAATATGAGGCAAATTCTGAGGTACCGTAGGGGAAATTCTAGTAAACGTAAATGTAAAAAATGGTTTGGGGACAATTCTGGAAGGATAAATCAGCCCATGTAAATTCAGAACATGGGGTTCCAGGCTATAGGATAGAAATATTGATTAAGAAGATATGTATACACACAAATATATTAGTTTTGTACTTAAATACATAAAGCCAAAAAAGAACATTTCCAAGTACACAGCACAACATGAAAATAAAAGATATATAAGGAAATAAAAAAATAAGAGAAAGTGATATGATGAATGTGTTTCATCTTCTGCTGTCACACTGCCACCACTCTAGTGCAGTGCCTCATGCCCTCACACCTTGACTTTGGCAAAATCCCGCTGCTAAGCCTTCCTGTTTCAAATCTCTCCCCTCCACCGTTGTTCATTCCACAACCAAAGTGATTTTCCTAAAAGGTAGGTCTGACTACATCAGTGCCCTCCTCAATGGACTCTAATTGCTCCCTATCACCTGCAGAATCTAATAAAAAAATCCTGTCTGGCATTCATTGTCCTTGAAGGCAAGAATTGTCTTTTGCCTTTTTTTTTTAGTATCCCTAGTATTTATTATTGTGCCTGGTATATAGTAGGCACTTAATGATTATTTATTGGTAGAATGATTGACAGAGGACCTCAATTTAAATCCTAATGTGACTCTACCTGAGAGACCCTGGAAAAGCTACTGAGTCTAAAACTGTCTAGCATTTTAATTAGTAGACGTTTTAGGTGACAGGCTCATCAGCTCAGGCACTGACACAAAGCAGGGAGGGACAGCAAATTCAGCACGTGACAGTCAGGACTCTCTAGAAGACAAAAGGATGAATCCAATCTAGAACCAGGAGGTGGTGGTTCTGTATTTTTCAGCATTGGCCATACCACATCTGGTTTACAAATTCAGTTTTTGGGGCCGTATGATAGGAAAGGCATCGATAAGCTAGACAGCATCCAAAGGACAGTGACCACAAGGCTGGGAGGTCTGCAAAACATGCCAAGGAGCTAGGAATGATTGGTCTGGAGAAGAGACGACTTGGGGCTGGCCTTTGGGTGGGATGGAGCAGAATATCTATCTTCCCATATTTGAGGAACTGTCTGGGGAAGAGGGGCTTAAGCTTAGTCTACCTCCCCCCAAGGGCAGAAGTAGGAGTAATTGCAGAGGCAGGTTTGAGCTTAGTGTCAGAAAAAAGCTTCCCAATGAGTAGAGCTGTCCAAGGTGGAAAGGACAAGCTCCTGAGGTTCTCCTTCAGTAGAAGTGGTCAAGGAAAAGTTGGGTGGCCTCTTGTACTGAGAGACACATTAGAATAGATTGTGAGCCAGGTCTGTACTAGATATCCACTAAGGTTCTTTAGTGTTGCGGGACTCTGAGGTTTTTTGAGTTCTCACCCTTTAGATCCTGAAGGAATGTCTGACAAAACTAAGAAGGAGGCTAAATGGTGCAATGAAAAAAGTCCTGGGCTGGAAATCTGAGTAATAATAATAATCATGGTAAGAATACTAATAGCAACAGCCTTTATGTAATACTTTAAGGTTTGCAAAGTGCTTTATATATATTATCTCACTGATCCCTACAAGAAACCTTTGAAATAGGTGCTATTATTATCCCCATTTTTCAGATAAAGCATTCTGAGACTGAGAGATTAAGTGACTTGTCTGAGGCAGGATTTAAACTCAAGACTTCTTGACTTCAAGTCAAGTAGTCTAATCATTGTGGACTTAGCTGACCTCTAGTTTTGGCTCTGCCCCTCAGATTTGCTGTGTAACTTTAGACAAGTCACATTCCCTTTCTGGGTCTCAAGTTCCTCCTCTGTAAACTAAAGATTTTAGACTCTATGGTGTCCATGATCCCTAGCTCTGAGTAGGTTGGGGTGAGCAGAACTTTTACACACATGGGAACACATTTAGAGGGCATTGAAAACACTTGTAGGATTTGGCAGAGAAATAAGGGAGCTTTATAAAGTATATGATGTAGTAGATAGAGAATTGGCCTCTGTCAAGAAGTCCTGGGTTCAAGTTCTGCTGATGACAAAGAGAAGATGGAAGGAAAAATCTGAAATTGTGAGTGCTAGATTGAGCTCCCTTACTGATAAGAAGAGGACAATGAGCTGAAGTGGCTTGGTAGATTTGATTTTGTGTTGGAAGAAGTGACTGTGGTCTCATACAATGTGTAAATGTCTCACAGATGTGGTAGCAGGAAGGCCAAGAAGGACTACAGATTATCCTCCTGCCTGGGTTCTTGCCTGTTTGTCTAGCCCCTTTGTCTTTCATTAAGAGGGTAGGAGAAATTGAAGTCTAGACCTATGTTCAAGAAACCAGAAGAATCTGCCTAGCTGTGCCACTCACTTGCTATGAACCCTTGGGCAAGCCATTTTCCAGGCTTGGGCCTCAGTTTCCTCCTTCATAAAAGAAATTCACAGTAATTGGAGTAAATGATCTCTAAGGTCCCTTCTAGTTCTAACACTCTGTGCGTGTGCCAAGAGTTCTGTCTGTTCAAATAGGCTATAATCTGTATTCTCAGGTACTTTTTACCTGTGATATGCTGTGATTCTAAGGGCCCTGTAGTCCCATGAGATCCCCAGAAGGAGGAGCAGAAAAGTCCAGTCCAGAAGCCTCAGGGAAGGAGTTCCTGCAGCATTTTCCAATGGGACAGTGTCTGGGGGTGGCAGCAGCAAAGCCTAGACTCTAAGACCTAGAGCTTCCCTTCTGAGGGAGGATTCAGGATCACTATCCTTCACTTCTCTCAGCTCTGAGTCTGATTCTTTGAACTTTGACCCCAGTGTGGGTACCTTCCCTGACACAGACACTTTTCAGTTCCTTTTTCTGTATTGATTCCCCCAATTGGAATATAAGCTTCTTGAGGTCAGGGCCGGTCTTACTTTTGTGTGTATTTGTATCCTCAGTGCTTAACCCTGTGCCCAGTATACATTAAGTTCTAAATAAATGCTTAACTGCCAGGTATAGTGGCACATGTCTGTAATCGTTGCTACTGAGAGTAGCTGAGGCTAGTGGATCTCTTGGGTTCAGGGGGTTTGAACTACAGTGAGGCAGAGCTGATCAGCTGTCCTCACTAAACATGGCACACATTTGGTGAGCCCTTAGCAGCAGACGAGGCCACCATGGTGGTCCAACTGGACAACTTGGAAAGGAGGAATAGGGTCTTAGCTTCCATATTGACCATTTGGCATCTGGCCCATGAATGGCCACCGAACTTCCAGCATGAGATAGGGAGATACAGTTTTAAAAAAGAAATAATCCAAAGAACAACCCAAAACTTCCCTTAATCTGGTGAAATCTTTTAATCTTTCTTGGTCTCAGCTTCCTCGTTTGTAAAATGGGGGTAATAATGTGTACCTCACAGCATTATTTTAGAGATCAATTGAAATGACATCTGCACAGTGATTTGCAAACCTTTAAACTGCGTTCAATTCAACAAAATTTACTAATCGCATATTATATGCCAGGCTGGGGATACAAAAGACAGTCTGTACTCTCAAAGATATTGTGATCTAATGGAGGAGATCACATACACACAAACAGACACAGACCAACCTAGAAAAAGGATAAACAGCAAATAATTAAGAGAGGGAAAGCACTGGAACTAAGAGGACTTAAAGAAGGCTTCCTGCAGACTGTGGGATCCTATCTGGGACATAAAGGTAGTGATAATCACTTAAGATCAATTGAGCCCCAATACAGGCCAAAAACCTGAATTAATGTTTTCTTCCTGAGTGAACTGGGAATGCCCTTTCCTGTGGCAATTGCTAAAGCTGATTAACAGCATTCTTATGTTTATGTCACTTTTAACGCAGACACTACCTGGAATAATGGGGATTTTTCTCATCTTGGTGGTAAAGGAAACACAAACATCCTGGATCTGACCTTTCCCTGTCTTGTTCAATTGTTTCTCGTACTCTGGTTAAACATATGGAGACCATAAACTGAGTAACACAGACATCCTGAGTCACAGGTTTAAATGTCCTCCTAAAATTGCTTGATTTAGTCAGAGTTAAAGCTCTGGCTCGATGTAACATGTTGCTAACTTAAGGGAATAAAACTATATGGATTTTCTTATCACCTAGCTTGTTGTCTGTTTTACCAGCTTTCAGGTCAACAGTAGCCAGGGAGGCCATTTGTTGGAGTGGAGGAGACAGAACATTCAGGCAAGGGAAATAACCAAAGAAAATTCCCAGGGACTGAAATCTGGAGAGTCTTTTTTTTTTTTTTATTGTGGAACATCTTTGAGGCCTGTACCACCAGATTGAAGAGTACTTGTAGGAGAATAAGGTGTAAGAAGAATGGATAGGTAGGTTGGGACTTGGTGATGAACATTTTGAATGCTCAAAGCCGCATTTTTTATTTGTTCCTGGCATGAATACAAAGCTCCTGGAGTTTGTTGAAGGGGTTGGGAAGGGAGTGAGGTGACATGGTTAGGCCTGAGTTTTGGGAAAATCACTCTTGTGCCTGAAAGGAGAGTGGTTTGGATTAGGGAGAGACTTCAGGCCGTCAGGCCCAGCAGCAGCCAGTGCAGTAATCCAGGTGTGAGGTGATGAGAATCTGCACTACGGTGGTGGCAGTGTCAGAGGAGAGAAGGGGGCATATTTGGGAAATGTTGCACAGGCTGAATTGACTGACTTGGGTGACAACTCAGATATGGGAGGCAAGAGACAGTGCAGAGTGTAGGATGACTTCTAAGTTGTGAGCCTGAGAGAATGGGAGGATGGTGCTGCCCTATACAATATTAGGAAAGGTAGGAGGGGAAAGGTTTAAGGGGAAGATAATCAGTTCTGTTTTGGACAGAGTGAGTTTAAGATGTCTACTGGAATCCTGTCTGAAAAGACTGAAAGGCACTGCTGTTGATCATTATTAGGAAGATGAAGGGCCTTGGAGTGCTCTGCTAGTTTTTTACCTTTCCTCCTCTTCCCTCTATTCCCACTGTACCCTCTTGCACCCTGCCTGCTCACTACCACTCAATCATTAACAAACCTTTTACTGCAGCCTTCTCTTTTTCGTGTTTTACATCATGTAGCCCTCATGAAAGTCTGACTTTGCAGAAGTGACCACAGCCCTGGACACCCTCCAGAATACTCGGTGCTCTTTCTTTCATGTTCCCTGACACACAGAGCCAGGAGGAGTTGGCATGCTGCTTGTTCCTCACTGTCTTTCTGATCTATTCTCTGTCACCATGGCTCAGCAACCTTTCTTCTTTGGAGGTTCAAGCCAAGTGTCCATATCACACTGTCCATACACCTGTTCATGTGATCTACTGACCTTCAAATCATTCTCCTTCTTTTCTGAAAGAGTTCAGAACCTGGGTCACAACCATTCTCTCCAAACCACCCCTGCCTTCTTATCTGGGGACTTTAATGTAATCGTTAATGTCCCCTCTACTATCATCACCTCTCAGTTCATCAACCTTCAAAATTTCCGTGACCTATATTTCCTTTCTTTTTCTTTCTTTCCTCATTTTTTCTGCCCAGACTCTTACATGGATGATCATTTTTAAGACCCTGAAACCGTCCATAATTGTGCCACCACCAAGATTTCAAACTCTAGTTCTCTGATCATAATGACCTGAGTATAGAGAAGGGATTACTAAAGCAACAGAAGTATTATGGAGTAGAAAACATCATTCTCCCCAACACCAGGAGACCAATACCTTGGGATAGGACTTAGTAACCAGTTAAAGTTAAGAAGAGTGAATGGGGAAAACCTTGGGCAGAAAAGGCTAAGGTCTCTGGATGGATCAAAGAAGGGCCAGTACCTTGGAACCTGGTCTATAGTCCATGGAGGCCTAAGGCCCAGGCCAGGATATTTCATACCTTCCTAGGTTTGGGGTACCTTGTCTGAAGCTGGAACCTCCCTTGGCTTACTGATTTCCTTCCTTCGTCAACCTCAAATAAGACTGAAAAAAAGAGAGGCCACTCTGGGCAGAGTTGTGGGCCTGGGATTCCTAGCAGAAAAAGGACAGGAGTCCCAGGCCCTGTACTTACCCATCACAGACAATATGGTGCCCCCACCAGATTTAAGCTCTGTGTCAGGAGTCCCCCTTTTGAACTTCACACAGTAATAGGTTCCACTGTCCTCTGGAGTGATGTGGCTGATGCTGATGGAGAAGTCTGTCGTGCTGCTAAGTGGGGCTGTTTGACTTATCCTGGGGTAGGTGTCTCCTTTGAAATTGTAAATTTCCTGTCTCTGGGGCCCTTTCCCCTTGAACCATTTCACTGGTCCTGCTGGTAGAATTTCAGGCACTGTGCAGTTCAGGGTGACTGTCTCTCCCTCTGCCACAGAGAGTGGATCCTTAGGCTGCAGCACCTTGATCTCCTCCTGGCCTTGGGCTCCTACAAGGAAATATAAGTTTTAACCTCATTTTCCTGCCCTGACCCTCCCAGGATTTTAGCCCAGGTGTCTGCCTCTAGTTTGGGTCATTTGTGAAGCATCCAGATTCTGGATCCGGGGAGAACTGAGAGGGCATCATGGAGAAGGCCTGTAATTCTGGAGTCAGAGATGATGTTGGGCAAAGACATTAGAGCTCAGGTTAAGCACCACCTCCCCTGTGGGGCATTTCCTCTTCCCTCCTCCAACACCCATCCCACTTTATGTTAATACCAAAGGCTTTGTATTTATTTTAGGCATGTTTTTTATTGTCTTCATGTGTCTGTGTTGTTTCCCTCTATTTCAGTGGGAGCACCTTGAGGGTAAGGGCTCTTGTTTTTCCTTTGTCTGTGAGGTACACAGTCAGTACATAATAAAGGCTTATGATTTGATGCTCTTCTTTGACCAGCAAGCACTGGACTTGGATCAAGTAAGACCTGGCTTCAAATCCAGCCTGCGATAATCATGGTGTAACACCTGGAGGTCCCTTGCTCTCCTTCCTCCTCAGGAAAATGAGGTTAATGAGTCTGCAAGTAAGTACCACAAACTTTCGATGTGAGGATCAAATGAAAAAATCCACATAGCTTTTGAAGTGCTATGAAAATTGGCGGTTCTAATTATTTTTGTTGCTCTTTTTATCATTATTTGAAAATTCCTCTTATTTCAGATAGAAACCAGTGATAAGTCACTCCTGTTTTTCTTTTCTTTTTCATATTCTAGGAACTATTGCCCAGATAGTTAAAATAATTGCTTCTCAGGGGCAGCTAGTTGGTGCAGTGGGTAGAGCACCGGCCTTGGAGTCAGGAGGACCTGAGTTCAAATTTGACCTCAGACACATAACACTTATTAGCTGTGTGACTCTGAGTGAGTCACTTAACCCCAACTGCCTCACCAAAAAACAAATAAATAAATGTATAAATAAATAAAAAAAAAATTGCTTCTCATGATTGAATAAAAGTATTCAAATGGAAAGTCATCTTTGGTAGGCTGACTGATAGCTTCCTTAATTAGAGCACTATTCCAGGAGCAAACATAATGCCCCAGATGATATACACTTCAGCTGCCTCACACAATTTTGATCCACTCTTCAAGGTCTCTGATTATTTGTATCGTACTGGAATAGAATATCAGTACATCTCTGTACAACTCACAAAGCATTTACGACAAAAGATTTCCTCATCTTTTTAGAAAAATCACCTCTTTGGGTGACTGTAATATAAACTGTCCTTATTTCTCCCAATGTGCTCACAATAAGGTTCCAGTTTTGTTGGGGTTGGATAATGTTGAAGGTCTCCCTCCCTCCCCCACCAGCCTGAGATGATCCATCCAGATATTACAGGGGACTCTGGGGTCCACTGCACACCATGCCAGCCTGATCACAGGAGAACCGGGTTGACTACCTGCAAATGCCCAAGAAGAGAATCAGGGAGGCTTTGCTGTTGTTCAGTTTTTTCTGTCATGTCTGACCTTTTGTGACTCCATTTGGAGTGTTAATGGCAAAGATCCTGGAATGTTTTGCCATTTCCTTCTTCAGTGGATCCATTTTGTCAGGCAATCAAAGTGATTTGTCCAGTGTCACACAGGTAGGCAGTATCTGAGGCTGCATTTGAATTTAGATCTTCCCGACTCCAGGCCCAGTGCTCTATCCACTGAGTCATGAGCTGCCTCTTTCAGGGAGGTTAGAGAGAATCTAAGTGTATGGGAGTGAGCACAATGATGAACACCCAATGTACACTCGGTTTCTGTCTTTGGCTATCATAGAATTCTAAGCTGTAAGTAAATTTAGCAATCATTTAGTCCAATCTTCTCCTCTCCCATTATACACGAAGAAACTGAGGCTTAGAGAAGTGTCATAACTTACCCAAGGTCACACAGGTAGTTACTGTTAAATATTAAGTTAGTAGAGGTATGGTGTGGGTCATGAAACAACTGTGGTTAGATTGACACATTCCTCTGCTTCAATCTCGTATGTGACTTCCTGTTTCCTCAAGCATAAAATAGATCCTCTTCACCCCATCCCCCATCTGCCACTTGAAGCCCTCCACGTTCTGTTTGCAATTACTCCAACCTGAGTTCACATTATTTAACTTTGCGCTTTCTACATACTGGATATTTTCTGATCTTTTTCTGCCATCCCTTGTCCCAATGCCTGAAATGTGCTTCTTCTTTTTCTCAACCTGCTAAAGTTTTTCTCTTTCTGCATGGTTCTACTCAGCTACCACATCTTTCATGAACTTTTCCCAAATCCTTCACCTGAAAATGATCTCTCCCTCTTTGGATTTTCTTAGACCTCTTTGTTTGAATCTCTCTTTTCCTCCATTCTTCCTTTGATCTTTCCTTCCCTTTCCTTCCTTCCTTCCTTCCTTCCTTCCTTCCTTCCTTCCTTCCTTCCTTCCTTCCTTCCTTCCTCCCTACCTTCCTTCCTGCTAGCATTTCTTGAGCATCAACTGTGCTGGGGATAGAAAGATAAAATTGTAATAGCCTCCATCTCTCAAGGAGCTTATTCTATCACAGTACACCTTTATTATACACATGTAGGTAGGTGACATTTCCTTTCTAGTATAATATAAGGTTGTTGAAAGCAAGGGCTATATCATTTGTCATATTTTAAAGCCCAAATTTGATCATAGTGCTTCCACACAATAATAACAACCACAACAGTAATGATAACCAGCCTCTATATATCAATTTAAGATTTAGAAAACACTTTCAATAACTCAAGTCATTTGATCTTCACAGCAACCATGCGGAGTAGGCACTATTTTTTGCAGATGCAGAAACTGAGACACATAGAGGTTAAATGACTTTTCCAGGGTCACACAGACAGTAATTGACTAAGGCAGGTTTTTAACTCATGTCTTCCTGTCCCCAATTTCTGCATGTCATCCACTGTAGTAGGCATCTACCACGTTCACTGAGATGATTTAAATTGAACACTTCATGACAGTTTTTCCTAGGGCTGATTATCTAGAGTCATATGGTAAAGAGATAACAGGCAAAAGAGAAGGAAAGACAAAGAGCTTTGAGACCACGGTTACTAGGACCCTGCGAAGAAGCAGGGAATCCAGGAAAGAGAGGAAAGAAAATGGTGTATGAAAAAGAATGGCAGAAACGAGTGAATGAGAAGTTATGAAAAACTAGAAGGTACAGGAAAGAGGGGAGATAGAGACCTGGGACTCAGGGATGGTCATTCAGCCTGAGCCAAGACTCATAATTGGAACTCCTTCCTTTTTGCATCCCTAGAGCATGTGATCTGGATGTCTTCTGCCCCAATCACATTCTACTTTGTGTTATATCATTTTATGTCTGCATCATATTCCTCTCCAACATACTGTTAATTTTCTAGTAGAGAGAGACCAAGTTGTTTTGCATCTTTGCATCCCTGGTATCTAGCCCAGGACTTTACATATGATGGATGGTTGAGAAATACTCAGACAATTGAGTTGGAAAGATCCAAAAAAACTGGTTTACAGGACCTGGGTTCAAGTTCCAGCTTTACCATTTCAGAATTATATGACATTGAGCAAATCCTTTAACATCTTCGAGTCTTCATTTCCTCACTGGATAAACATTTGCAGTATTTCAAGAGTTATTTTTGTGTCAAAACATTGTAAATTATAAAGCCCCTTAGACATGTCAAATACTGTAATATTATTGTGTATCTAATATTATTATTATTATCTAAGGCTATGCTCTCCTTTTAGACTGAGAGAGGTTCAGTTATTCATCCAAACAAACCCAGCGATTAGTGGCAGAAGAAGAGTTAAATTATAGGCCTTCTGACACTTACTCCACAGCTCTTGTCACTACAACCACACTTCTTCCCCATAACTCTATTGATGCAGAACATTCAAAATCCCAAGTCACCTATGGAAAGTTCCAGAAGGACTAACAATAGGGTAATCTCATCCATCACAATGACCACTAGACTTGGCTGAAGAAGGCTGAGGTTTGAATGACAGCTATGTCACTTCCCATCTGTGTAAAGATAACTTTTTTGAGTCTCCTTTTGACCATCTGAGAAATGGAGACAATCCTACTTGGAATTTCTATCTCACTGTGCTCCTGAGAGGAAACCATTGTGTGAAGAGTAACATTCTAGAGAAAGAAGAGCTATATGTCAACTATGTGAACACGTCTTTTCTTGTCCTTTTCAGCACTTGACTATCCTTGCAGGCCCTTGGAATCACACCATTCCCAGAAAACCTCTCTGCCAGTCCATAATGGTCTGTCCAGATGTATCATGAACCTCTGGATGCTTCCCTTTTCTGCCTTGAAGTTCCCCACTCACCAGAGAGGCCAAGTAGCAGAATCAGCAGCAGGGAAAGCACAGGGGAACCAAGCAGGTAGAAGAGGTTGGACATTTCAATGGGTCTTTGGTCCTTCCTCTCTGTGTGTGACTCTTTGTTGGCTTAGATTCATAGAATGGACAGTGGATCTTTTGCAGGGAGAAATTGGAGTCAAACTCATCTGCCTCTGCTCGTTGGGCAAATAACTGGGGTTAAAGGGATCCTCTTCTTGGTGAGAAATAGGAAGTGGGAGGGATTTCAGTTCAACTTCCTTCAATCTCATTGTTTCAGGTCTTGCTGTGAATGGTAAAAATAATCTAGTTTTTACGCAATCAGATACATCACTCCGTTTCTGAAAATCATACAGCGACTCCCTATTGCCTAAGGAGAAAACACTTACTCCTTAACTTGATGTTTAAAGCCATCAACAGATTGGCTACAGTCTATTTTTCCAACATTGTATCATGCTGCTCCTTTTTTTGCACTGAATATCCCAGAAAAATACGGACATTACATAGTTCATAATCTCATCCTAGTATCTGTTTTCTCTGTGTACATGCACATATCACTTCTGCCTCCTCGTCACTGACTTCTGAAATGCTTCACTTCTCTTAAGCTTAAATTCAGGAGGTACTTACCCTATGAAATATTGCTGAACACCTTTCCTTTCTCAATACCTAAAAGTGATTCTCATAAAATTTTCATAGAGTCCTACCTTAATCTCTTGTTTGTCTCTATCACATTCTTCTTTTGGTATATATTTATTGTTCAGTTGTTTCAGTCATGTCTGACCCTTTGTGACTCCATTTGAGATTTTCTTGGCAAAGATACTAGTGCGCCATTTCCTTCTCTAGTTAATTTTACAGATGAGGAAACTGAAGTGAACAGGGTTAAGTGACTTCTCCAGGATCACCTTTGTAACAAAGGTAGTAAGTGTCTGAGACAGGAGTTGAACTCAAGTCTTCCTGATTCCAGGTGCAGAGTTCTTTCCAGTGAACCACCTAGTTGCCCTATGTAGTTTCTTAGTTGTATACATATCATAACATAGTATGCTACAAACTCTATCAAGAGAAGAACTCTCGCTATTTTCATCTTAGTTAGGTTAGTTCTTCTTAGATGGTTTGATACTGTCTTCAGACTTAATTAGCTCAGAGGATTAAGCCAAGAGATGTTGTCTCAGCTTCCTGGTAGCTTAAACACAAAAGCCCAGCCCAAGATAATACAGGAGTGACATTTCCTCTGGCATGACCATTCTGCCAGTATGGTCCTCTAAGGTGGCTTGCTCTGAATGTACCCAGATAGCCTAATATAGAAGCACCCTGCTTACCTGTGTTTCCCTACCATGTGGATGAGAGTAGTTTACTGTGATAGGATGACTAGCCTGAAGAGGTTGCATCTTTGTAAGTGTTCAAAATGAATGCTTTTTTTTTCGTTCATGCCTGCTCTTGCCTGCTGGGTCTAAAGGGTGAAGAATATAGTTTGCTCACAACATAAACAGAAATGATGAGGGGAAAGGAAGACTTCCTTCCTTCTCATGCTGTCCCTTTTACCTCTTGTCTTGGGGAAACTGAGGCCCAGAAAGGTGAAATGACTTACCCTAGATCATATGCCCTTGGTAAGTGGGGGGTCTAGAATTTGAACCCAGATCTTCTTTTAAATCCTAGATCTTTACTACCTGTTTAATACTGAAAAATAATTTCAATGCCTGCAATATAAGGAAGTTGGACTAGATCTCTAAATTGCCATCAAATTCTAAATCCTCTAATTCCCTCCTTCTCCCCTTTTCCCCCTCCTCCTTATCATCTCATTATCATGTCATTATCATACCTGACATTGAACAAGCCACAGCCCAGTTTCTTACCGTATCTGTTTGCTTCTACTGGGCATATGCTGATATTCTCCTAGTGTCAGGAAATGTTACCATAATAGAAACTCTTTTAGAAGGTGTATTGGTTGTCCTGGTCTACCCGGCTTTTCAGCCTCAGAGAATTGCTTCGGAGATGAGAGACTCAGAAACTATCTCAGAGTTCACCAACTGGTATTGTTTTTGAATCTTCATTTTCTGGAACTGTGCTTTTGGAGGCTTCTGGAGAGAAAGAAATCCAGAAATTGCATAAATTTTATTTACACTTTGTACTTCTCTGTCTAGAAAAACAGAAGAAAGTTGCATGCATATTTAAAAGGAACAATAAAGAAACCAGAAGGAGACTAGGCCATGAATCATTGCTGGTGGAAAGTGGAACAAACATCACCACTCTTTTCAGTCTCTTCTGAAGCTCTTGAGACTTTAATAAATCTGAAGAACATAATGGGTGGGTGAGTGGGAGGCTTTTGAAAGCACTTTCTTTATGACAATTTAACTCAATATTATTTTTTTCTGTTCAAGGAAGCAGAGACCTTGAAATCCTTGTTCCAGCCAGGGTTAGAGGAAAGTTTGTAGTGGCCATGATAGATTAAAAAGTAAGAATTAAAATGGATTTCTGACCATGAGTCAGATGGGTGTTGAAATGAGGTAGTCACAGGATACAATAGAGAACAGAGGTGTGGAGACAACAAATAATTCTGCTGAACATGTTTACTCCGTCTTCCCCATGACATTTGAAGGCAGCTGTCATTTATCCCTCTATGTCTGCTCTTGTTCTTACCAAAAATAATTACTGCAGTTTATATGGCAAGGATTCCAGCATCCTCATTATCCATCTCCAAATCCAGCTTGTCTTCTGCCATCAAAGCTAGACTACAATGGTTCAATGTCATCTTGGAACATGGTGCCTGGAACTTTCGTGCATTGTAGATGGAGCTGGAAATTGTGGCTGCAGCAATCCTGGAAAGCAATGTGGAGCTATCCCAGTTATTAACTTGGGATATCTTTTGACCCAGCCATAACCCCACTAGGTCTATATTGTAAAAGAGATCAAAGAAAGAAGAAAAGAATCCCTCCCCAAAATTGAAGTAGTTCCTCTTGTTGTAGCAAAGAACTGGAAACTAAGTGGGTGACCATCAATGACAGGTTAGCTGAACAAATAAGTGAATGTAATGGAGTATTATTGTGCTGTAAGAAGAGCTGAAATGGATGGTTCCAGAGAAACTTGGAAGGCTCCTATGAATTGATGCAGAATTAAAAAACTACATTATTCCCAGACTGGACCATTGCAAAAGGGAAAGCCATAGGGACACAAAGAGACAGAGGTCCCTTTAGGCCAGAGACTCTTCCTTTTCTTTCTTTATTCCTTTTTGTTTACTCAGAACACCTCCTTATTCTAAGCAGATTTAGAAGAAGTTGTACAATAATGACAGGGCAGAAGACACCAGCAATGCTCCTTTTCTTGTTCTGGACATTATGATTATATCAATATTGCACAAGATCATGTTATATGGGCCACTATTTTGATATTTTAATTGTAAGAGATCATTCACGTAGTAGGAATCACTATTGTCTTTTGTTATAGAGCATGAGTTAAGTTGGCAAGATTCTGATCACTGTCTTCAATCTACGACATACTAACATCTCTAGAGATAATTCTGATTGTAATGATTTTAAAAACTACATGGTTTCCAGACTGGGTCCTTTTACAAGAAAAAGCCATAAAGACCCAAAGAGAGAGAGGTCTTCTTGGATCAGAGACTCTTCCTTTTCTTTTCTAATTCCTTTTTATTGACTCAGAAATCTCTCCGTATTCCAAGACAGGAGTACATCATAAAGACCAAGGCCTCTAATGTGTATAATGAATGAACAGAGTATTTGAAACAATCCAGAAAAATTAGAAAAAATTTTTTGTAAAAGGCAAATGCGATCTAAACATTACCAGAAATGGTTGGATGGGATTCATAACTACGACATGGATTGGCAATGGCACATCATATTGAACAATAGACTCTTTGAGAGTAAAAATGGTTTCACTTTTCTCCAGTTTCTAGAATAGTGGCTGGAATAAAGTTGGAACTCAATAAATGCTTGATTATTTGTTGATTAGCAAGAAATAGAACAGAGAAAAAGGGTTAAGCTATTATTCAGTAGATGGTACAACCAGAAATAAGCCTTGACAACTTAACAAGTTGCAAAATTGAGGCATTTCTTTCGAAACTTGTGTTTCATTTGTGAGTGCTAATAATTCCATTGATTATTAGAGTCTTGATGTAATTAAATGGACCAATTTATTTTCAAAAATAAACTTCGTTTTAGACTAGGCCCTAGCAAATTGAATAAACTAAGCAGTTCATAGAGTTGGAGAGAGGACAGAGAGCTGAGAACAGACGTAAGTACTGAGGTGCACAGCCTGACCCTCTACCCAGTCCATCAAGAATGTAATAATCATCATGATTATAATAATAACAGCTAATTATAACTCATATGTTGTTCAGTTATTTACATCATGTGTAACTCTCCATGACCCTATTTGGAGTTTTCTCTGGAAAGATATTAGAGTGGTTTTTCATTTCCCTTTCCAGCTCATTTTACAAATGAGGAACTCATGATGGTGAGGAGCTTCACGATGCATTGTGATTGTCAGATTCCAAACTGGAATTTCAATTTCTTTTACTCCAAAATTAAAATTTGATTAAATGCTAGTATTACTATGGAGCTATCTGCTGGATATAGAAGTAGACTAAGAATGTGGATGTGAGAACACTGTTGTTGGCATTGACTAGATACCAGAGCACTTTGGGAGATAGCCATAGGCATTTAGGATACACTGTGACAGATATTATGATAAGAACCCAAGGTAAAGTCACATAGTGGCCAAATTATATACTATATTCCTTTTTAGGTTGCTTAATTAGTTAACTTCAGAGTAAAGCATTGAACAGCTTTTCTACAGGCTTTACAGAAACCATGACATGAACTGGATGTAGGTTATTATTGCTGTAGCACATCGAGTGACTCCTTGGATATGCCAAGAATGTTGCAAATCTTGTCGCACTGCCAAATGATAGAGATGTTGGGAAAGAACAAAGAGAACGAGAACAAGAATGAGGAAAAGATCACAAGAAGAAGAACCAGGAGAAAGGGAAAAAAAGAGCAAGGGAAGAAGAACAAGAATAAAAGCAGGAAAATCAAAACCAAGGAGGAGAAGACCAGAACAAGCACAAGAACCAGCCTGAAAATGGGAAGAACAAGTACCAGAATCACCCACAGAAGAAGGAGGATGGCTTAATAAGGGAAATAGGTCAGGAAGAGGAGGAAGAAGAGGAAGGACAACATGGTGATGGCAGAAAAGAAAGGAGCAATGGTGTCTCTGGTAGTCCCATGGGAGCAATACTAAGTGATCTGATTGGTTCCAACCCATGTAGTTCTGTCTTCTTCTGCAGGGAAAGAGCAGAGCTAATAACTTCAAGAAGCAGAGTCTGTGCTCTGCTGTACCCTTGAGTTTGGGTCAATCCAGAGAGGCCAAGTTCAGCCTGGTATCTGCCATACTGTGGCTGTCTAGTCCAGGTCACTGTACTGATAGGAATCTAAGGGAGCTGGTTTTGAGACCAGCTGTTATGGGCCAGTAGCATGGGGGAGGAAACTCTGTATTCTATCCCAGGCCAGGACCCTGCCTGAAAGTAGGAGGAAGTTGAGACTGAGGAGGTGGAGCAGAGGAGCACTTGAAGTAGAGGTTGGCCCCTGAAGCTAGGGAGAAAATAGAGAGCAGAGATTAGTCAGAACAAATCTCTCCTGATCCTCACCTTGACATCCTCCCACTCTTTGACTCTGATTTTCTCCTGCTCTCTCCCTCTTGAATCTCTCCACTAGGATTTCTCTGCTGAAAAATTAGGAGCCATTGTGAGGGTACTAGGAGGCCGGTCAGTAATTCAGGAGACCATGCATAAAATATGTCTTAGTGGTTTCCCATCCCCTCCTTCCTCAGTTCCAAAATACCTCAAGAATGGTGGAGAGGTCAGATCTACTGCCCTTTTAGCCAAACACCTGGGGCCACCTTCTTTGAACCCTGACCCTGCTGCCTGCCGATCAGATACATCATCTCACCTGTTGTCTTCTGCTTTCTGTGGACAAAGAATATGGAGACATTGAACAGCAAGAGAACCTTGAGTCCCAGGAGGAAAATCACAAAGAGCTATGCAAAAGCTACTGAGCCTGAGGGATGAAGTGGTACCTCAGAGTTGTTTAATTTGTGCTTCTCCAATCAATAGCGATTTAGAACATTTTTTTTTGATATGACTATAAATAGCTTTTATTTCTTAGTCTGAAAACTGCCTGTTCATGTCCTTTGACCATTTATCAAATGGGGAATGATTTTTATTATTTTTTTATATAAATTTGACTCAGTTTTCTGTATATTGAGAAATACGGCCTTTATCAGAGATACTTACTCTAATTTCCCCCCTTATTTTCTGCTTTCCTTTTAATTTTGGTAGCATTAGTTTTATTTGTACAAAAGCTGTTTAATTTTATATAATCAAAATTATCTATTTTACATTTTGTCATGCTCTTTAATATTTTCTTTGGTCCTAAATTCTTCTCTTATCCATAGACCTGACAAGTAATGTATGCCATGCTTTCCTAATCATTTAATATCATTTGCTTATGATTTCACCTTTTATGTGTAAATCATGTACTCAGTTTGACCTTATTTTGGTATATGGTGTGAAATGTTGGAATATACCTAATTTCTGCCATACTGTTTTCCAGCTTTCCCAGCAATTTTTGTGAAATGATGTGTTTGTTCCAAAAGCTTGGGTCTTTGGGTTTATGATACACTACATTAGTATGGTCATTTGCTATAATGTAATGTGTACCTAATCTATTCTACTAATCCACTTCTCTATTTCTTAGCTAGTACCAGATTATTTTGATAATTACTGCTTTGTAATATAATTTGAGGTCTGGTGCACCTAGACTACTTTCCTTCACATTTTTTCATTGATTCCCTTGAAATCTTTGACCCTTTCCTATTCCAAATGAATTGTTATTTTTTCTAGCTCTATAAAACAATTTTTGGAAGTTTTATTGTACAGCACTGAGTAAATAGATTAATTAAGGTAGAATTGTCATTTGTATTATATTGGCTCAGCCTCCCCGTGAACAATTAATATTTTCCCAGTTGTTTAGATCCGACTTTATTTGTATGAAAAGTGTTTTGTAGTTGTGTTCATATAGTTGGAATATGATATACCAGAAGGCAAATGAGTTAGAATTATAACCAAGAATAACCTATACACCAAAACTGAATATAATTTTTCAGGGGAAAAATTAGATATTTAAGGAAATAGTGGACTTTCAAGCATTCCTAATTAAAAGATGGGAGCTCCATAAAAATTTTCATTTCCAAATAGAAGGCTTAAGGGAAACAAAAAAAAGTGAAAAAGAAACAAGAAAAGGAAAACATGAGATTCAATAAGGTGAAACTTTTTTTCCATATGGAAAGATGATATTTGTAACTCAGAAGAACTTTGGTATTATAAGGGCAATTAGAAGGATTATAAATAGACAGAGGGTGTGTATATAAAGGGCCTTTGATAGGATAATACAAAAAATGGGGAGTGGATGAGAAAGAATATTGCGCTGGAAGAAGGAAGAGAGGATGGATCGAATGTGGTAAATTATCTCACATAAAAGAGGCATGAAAGAGTTCTATAATGGAGGGGAAGATGGGGGAGGATGTTGGCATGCAAAGCTTAAAACTTACTCTTATCAGAATTGGCTCAAAAAAGGAAAACATACACACTCAGTAGAATACAGAAATCTATTTTTCCCTTTAAAGAAGTTAAAAGGGATGGGGATAATAGAAAGGAGGGGCTGATAAAAGGAAAGATGGAATGGGGGATATGGTGATAAGAAGTAAAACACTTGCGAGGAGGGGCAGAGTAGAGGTAAGTGAGAGAGAGGGATAAGGAAGGGAAAAAAGCATGCAGAGAAATACATGGTTAAATATCATAACTGTAAATGTGAATGACATGAACTCACTCATAAAACAGAAGCAGCTAGCAGAATGGATTAAAAACCAGAGCCCTACAGTATATTGTTTACCAGAAACACATTTGAAGCAGAGAGACACATGCAGGGTAAAGGTAAAGGGCTAGAGCAGAATCTATTATGCTTTAGCTGAAGCAAGGAAACCTGGGATAGCAATCATGGTCTCAGACATAGCAAAAGAAAATTTGATCTAATTACAAGAGATAAGGAAGAAAACTATATCTTGCTGAAAGGTGCCATAGACAATGAAGTAATATCTGTACTAAACATATATGCACTGAATGGTACAGCATCTAAATATTTGAAGGAGAAATGAAATGAGTTACAGGTGGAAATAGACAATAAAACTGTACTAGTGGGGAACCTCAACTTTCCCCTCTTAGAACTAGAGAAATCTAACAAAAAATAAATAAGAAAGAAGTTAAGGAGGTATATAAAATTCTGGAAAAGTTAGATATGCTACATCTCTGGAGAAAATTGAATGGAAACAGGAAGGAAAATACTTTTTATCAGCATTACATGGCATTTATGCAAAAATTGACCTTGTATTAGGATGTAAAAACCTCACAACCAAATGCAGAGAAGCAGAAATAATAAATGCATCCTTTTCAATGCATAATGCAATAAAACATATATTCAATAATGGGCAATTGAAAGAAAGATTAAAAATTAATTGGAAACTAATCCAAGTAATCTAAGTAATCTAATCCTAAAAAATAAATGTGTCAAAGAACAAAGCATAGAAACAATTGATAATTTTGTCAAAGGAAATGACAATAGTGAGACAACATGTGAAAATTAATTGGATGCATCCAAAATGGTACTTAGGTATAAATTTATATCTCCAATTGTTTACATCAATAAAATAGAGAAAGAGAAGATCAATGAATTGGACATGCAAGTAAAAAAAAAACCTTGAAAAGGAACAAATTAAAAATTTCCAATTAAACATAAAATTGGAAACATAAAATCCTGAAAGTCTAAGGGGAGATTAATACAATTGAAAGTAAGGTAACCATTGAACTAACAAATAAAACTAGAAGCTGGTTTTATGAAAAAAAAAATACCAGTAAAATAAATAAATCTCCTGACTTCTTTGATCCTCTTTTTTCCCAATATAAATGAAAACCAAATCTTCACTTCTGTTGTCCTCAGCTTTTCTTAACAGCCTCAACTCATTTTGAGGTTTAATATTCCCAACTCTATTTGTAAAGGATCATGCCGTACTTTTCCTTTCATCCTCTGCTATCTGGACTTATTTCCATCTTTTATACCTGCATTTCAAAAATCTAAACTAGTATGTGGGTTCTCTGCTTTTCCATAACAATAATCTTCAAACAGCTCTCATGTTTGCTCCTTCTTTGAAATTATTTCACTTTGTGTCTTCAGAACATCATTCTTCATTGTTTATCATCCCTCTTTAGTTCAAGTCCCCTGTAGTATTTGAACCCATGGAATCAGAGCAGTCCTTCTTATTAAATCTTTGAAGTTGACTCTCTCAAAATCTTTTGTGATATGAGATTATGACATGTTTTTTCTTTCTTTTTCTATCACCAACTTTATGAGGAAATAATTTTCCCCAGAGGGCTCCCATCCCCAGCCACAAAATTTCACCCCATGAGGAATAACCTGTTCTATAATAAAATATCCTGTTCTCAGTTTCTCAATTTTGGAAGGATGAAATTATGTTTACAGCAAGCCATGCTGTTATAAACATCTCTGTCTTTTCCAGAGGGTGAATTTTAGCACTTCCTGGATAATTGAAGCCCCTGATCACTGCTGGATCGTGTCTCTATGTCAGGATAATAATGTTTACTAACGTATTCAGGTATTTCCTCTTTCTCTACAGATGGTCTCTAGTATGCATAGATAATAAAATCACTTGTCTAGTTCACACTCTTTCATTATCCAACTACTTTGTACCATACTCTTTCTGTTTTATAGGTTTTGGATTTTCTTAAGGATGTACCTCTTAATAAATAATAGTACTCAGTCCCTCTTTATTCCAATCTTATTCTCTTTCAATAATACATAACCACTGAGAGCCTTTTCCTGTGATGTATTTTCTATGTAATTACAGTGGGTATATTGGTAAATGTTTAACTACAAGCTCTCTGGCAAGGAAAAAACAAACCAACAAACTATATGTAGAACACACTATTAAAGCTGATTTTCATTATTACCATCTTCTTTGTGATTTTTAAAGTCCAGGTAATGGACAAAACAATAAATTAAGCCTAATTTATAATGTTTCTTGAATTCCCAGGTGTAAGTGTTCACTTGAATATTTAACAACTGACTCTCATAAGCTGGGTCAAGCTGGCTCCATTATACTTCAGATTTTACCACCAGATCTTAGTGATATCTATGGAGTTATATTTCATTCCTTGATTAGAACCTTCAGTTAATCCTTCCTGCTGAATAAACTCTTTGCATTTGTGTCTAAACATTTGACACTTTAGATTTATCCTTGGCTCCTTTCTTGTTTTTTTTCTTCCCACTGTGAACGAGATATCTCAGTCAGAGTGAATTTAATGAACTTCATGCTTTTAAAAATTGAGAAATCTCTTAGGAGATGGGAGAGCAATGTAGTGTGATAAGATGAGTGAGAGATGTTGAATCAGAAAAGACAGGAAGGTGAATTCTAATAGTTGGTGCAGGAGAGGCTGGTAGGAGAAGTCAGATATTATATCCAGGATTATATAGATTATGTCTGTGGCTTGACCTGACAAGTGAAGGCTCTTTGTAATTTCTTTTTTTTTTTTTAATATAAATTTATTTATTTGTAGTTTTCAACATTCATTTCCACAAGTTTTTGAATTCCAAATTTTCACCCTGTCTCTCCCTCCCCCACCCCAAAATGGCATGCATTCTGAATATCCCTTCCCCTAGTCTGTCCTCTTTTCTTTCTCTCCCCCCTTCTCTTATCCCCTTCCCCTTCTATTTTCCTGTAGGGCAGGATAGACTTCTGTACCCCATTTCCTGTATTTCTTATTTCCCAATAGCATGTGAAAACTTTTTTAAACATATGTTTTTAAAACTTTAGGTTTCAAATTTTCTCTCTTCCTCCCTCCCCACCCACCCTCATTGAAAAGGCACGCAACTCAATATAGGTTGTACATGTGCAGTTATGCAAAACAC